CCCCGGGAGGCTGCGGGCGCGCGCACGCCCCGGGGCCACCGCCCCTCCCGGGCCCGCCCTCCTTCCCACCCTCCCCGGCCAGCCTGGCCCGCCCTGCCCGGCCCGCCCTGCGAGTCAGTCCGCTGGCTCCCTCCCTCCCCCAGCGCGCTCGGGCCGCCGCAGCGCTCCGCGCCCTCGAGCCGCCGAGCCGGAGCCGCCCGCCGCCCGCGGAGGAGGCGGAGGAGCCGGAGGGGCCCGCCGAGGCGGCGGCGGCGGCAAGATGGCGGACTTCCTGCCGTCGCGGTCCGTGCTGTCCGTGTGCTTCCCGGGCTGCGTGCTGACGAGCGGCGAGGCCGAGCAGCAGCGCAAGTCCAAGGAGATCGACAAATGCCTGTCGCGGGAGAAGACCTACGTGAAGCGGCTCGTGAAGATCCTGCTGCTGGGCGCGGGCGAGAGCGGCAAGTCCACCTTCCTCAAGCAGATGCGCATCATCCACGGCCGCGAGTTCGACCAGAAGGCGCTGCTCGAGTTCCGTGACACCATCTTCGACAACATCCTTAAGGTACGCTCTCCCCGCGTCCCCGCCCGCACACCTGCGCCCAGGTGCGCGCAGGTGCGGCCCCGCGGACTCCTGCGCCCCGGCCGGCACCGCGGCCCACGCCTTTGTCTGCCCCTGGTCTGGCCGCAGCGGCCCCGTGCCCCCAGCTTTGGGGGAGCCGGCCAAGGATGCGCACCCTGTCTCCCCGTCGGCTTGGAGGCCTTCGCCTCTGCTCTTCTCGGGGATTTGGGAACTGAGGAAGCGGGAAAGCCGGACACCTTCTGGGGCTTTGGAGGCGCGGGGGTTTTAGCAGTGGGGCGGGCAGGGGGCGCGCCGGGCCCCCCACCCCCAACCCCGCCGCTGGCCTCGCCCCCTGCGAGAGGGAAGTGAGGCGAGCCGGGTGCTCCGGAGCGTGGGGTGACCTCTCCTGTCCTCCCTCCGGACGAGCCAAACCCAGTCCGTCCATCCTCACCCCACGCTGGGGCGCTGCCCGCCCAGCCTCGCCGCCCCGGGTGGTGGGTGACCCGAGTCACATGGGGTCGGGGCTGCTCCCAACTCCTGAGCCGGGGAGTTCTGGAACCGCCGCAGTCAGGAACCTTGTGCCCGAGACCCTGGTCAAGGGCGAAGGGTGACAGCTCTTGGGCTCTTTGGGGCAAGGATATGAAACTTGAGGGTGCCCTATTTACTGTGCTGCTATCAGGAAAGAGTACACCATACAGTCAGCCTAAAAAAGTTAGCGGTGGTTTTTCGCCCCAGTGTCACGGTCGGGCAGGATGTTTGCCTGTAATCACCATGCAGCACGTTCCACTCTTCTTTTGCTTAATAATTGGGGGCGGGAGGGAGGGGGTACCACACTTGTCTCTACTGCTTAAATGAAATCGTGTGTTGATACAAAGAATCTTCGGCCTAAATGTGATGCGGAGCCTGTACAGGTTGAGTCAATGAATTAGCGTTGGCTTAGACCATAGGCTCTGCTGCTGTTTGTGGGTATTTTTTAAATTGAGGGTAAGCTTTGTTCTCAGGTGAAAAACACACAAGAATTTTAGTTCTGGGCTTTCAAAGAATTACAGAAGAGGGGATTTTATTTTTGTCATTGGAGCGATAATTAGCACTCATTTTTCTTACTAGCACCTATTTTGTACTTTACATAAAAGGCATTTTGGCAGAGTTGAGATACAGAGCCTGGTACTTCAGGTGCATGAGGGTTCTCTGTTGCATCTGGGTAGCAGTTATATAGGAGCTGGTTATAGATTTCAAGCCTTTCCAAGCATCGTTTTTTTAAGGGTTTTTTGTTGTTCAGGAAGTACCTAAGTCACTCTTTGGTGACACTTTTTTTCTCCCGGGATTGAGTAGAGGAAAACTGCTTGGTGGGGGCGGGGGGTGGGGGTAAGGATGGGGAAGGGCACTAGGCCAGGAGCTCACAGACCACAGCCAGCCCTAGTACCTCTGAAGTTAATCTGTAAAAAGTGGTTGTATTTATCCTCTCTTCAAGTTTAGAACCAAACTAATTAAGGTCTCTTTCAAGGCCGAAGACTGCCTAGCCAGTCCTTAACCGAAGGTACCTTTGTATCCCCATGCAGCTGAACGATGCAGCTGAACGGAAGGGATTCTGTCAATGAATAGAGCCAGCATGTTAACTGATAGTCAGCCAGGTAAACACCTGGTTCTTCACGTGCACGGGCTCCTACGTGTGACCTACTTCGAGCATTGATGATGAGATGCAGTCACTAGCCATCTGCATTTTTTGAGTTGGCGTGATCAGAAAATTGACAGCAAAACGGTTTTTCAGTTATCCAAACAGATGACCTAATAGTCCTGTGATTGTTAAGAGGGACTAAAGGTAACAGTCTAGTGTTAGAAGTAATGGGTTTGATTTAATCTCTGTGAGTTGAAATCTCAGCTTCTACATCTTGTTTGCCGTTGGTCTTCCTCCTTCCAGGGAGGTCTGACTCCATTCTCTGCCTTTTACACTTATTTGAAGCTTGAGATGGGAGAAGTTTCTGAGCTTTGAATGTGTTCCTGGAAGACTCAGGGTTAAGCAGGGTGCTCAGGGACCAAGCAGATCACAGGGTGATAAGTTTGGTTCTTGACGTCTCATAAATAAACGTCTCTTTGAGAGACTCATAAAATCTTGCTTGCAGATCTTTCTTCAGAGCCTGGACATCAGGCTATGCGGCATAATTTCTTTTTCCTTTGCTAGTTTTGGTTCTCTTGTGACTGCGTTCTACCCAGGAGTTATTTTATAAATTAGAACATGTTAAAATCCTTTAGGAGGAGCACTTGTGTTAATTGTATTTGCTTTTCAAGGCTCTAATTTTATGATTGTGAACAACTGTTAGTTTTTTTTTTTTTTACACTCTGAGAAGTTACTCCTGTTTGTCTTGATGTTGGTCTCCAGTTTTGGAGGCACCAGGCCTGGAGTACTTAAGAAGTTTAAGGAAATAATACTAGAATCAAATCTCTGAGAATATCTAATGACTCCCATCACACTTTTTTTTTTTTTTTTTTAAACAAAGGTATGAGGGTGCTGGTTGATGCTCGAGAGAAGCTTCACATTCCTTGGGGGGATAACTCAAACCACCTCAGTGGAGACAAGCTGATGGCGTTTGATACGCGGACCCCCTTGACGGCCCAGGGAATCGTGGAAACTCGAGTTTTTTTACAGTATCTTCCTGCTATAAGAGCATTATGGGCAGACAGTGGTATACAGAATGCCTATGACCGGCGTCGAGAATTTCAATTGGTAAGAGATTTGGTTTTTTTTTTAATGTTGTGATTTTACTTTAACGGCATTTATTAACATCTGATTCTAACACACCTTTTTCACTGACTTCCACAATATAATGTATCTATCCAGAATTTTAGCCTCAGAAACTTGGATTGCTCTATAGATGAGCTTTTTAAACTGAGCAAGATAAAAGTAAGGTAAACCCCATAGGTTTGGTGAAGTTGTTATAATTAGTTGGTCATTTTTCCTTTTCGAAAGTAAGATCATAATGATTTTCTCAGGCACTTTCAAATTATTAATTTTTTTCTCCTTTTAGAAGTAATCTCCTCTCAATTCCAGCAACAATATTGATCTTTCTAAAAAACTGACCTTTTACTCTTGGATTAAGAGTTCAGTAACCTGATTGTTCAGATGTGCTCTTTATCTTTAGTCTTTAGAGGTATTTATTTCATGATTCAGATTAATTTAATCTGTAAAGAGGTTAAAGTCCTTAATAATGTTTAACAGTCATACTTTTTGTATATTTGCATGCTGTGTTTTTTTAAGGCTTCTAAGCACGTTTTACAAAATGTTCCTTCTTAAAAAACAAAAATAATCTGTTATTTTTTATACCTGTGTTTCACATGGGAAGCACCTAGAATTTATTTTATATTTTTTATATCTACTTTATCTTAAACGAGACTCCCGTAAGACTTTGTAGCTATTATACAACATTGAAGAGAGAGTGGAAAAGGATCTGATCTAGGTTAAAGGTACAAAAATAATGATTGAAATAGATTTTTTTAATCAAGTGTTTTGTAATTTAATTGTGAATGCTTTGATTGTATTCGGGGTTTTATTTGCCAAAGACCGGAAAGGTCCCAGGAATGATAGCCATCTAGACCGTATGCAATTTGGAGGGAGTTCAGATCTGAAGTGTTTTACTGTAATGTGATCAAAATAAAGTGACAGTTAAAAGTAAAACTGCTTAGAAAGTTGTTTGATGATGTCACTGGCATTAAAGCAATTCACATTTCTGGGTGTGGCTGCAGAATGATGTGCAGCCAGCAGCCCTTGCTGTTACAGTTTGTACTCAGCAGCAGTCTTGGCAATTAAAAGTTCTAGAAAAGTGTTCACGTTGGCTCTTGATAAACCTGAGACCTGCATCTTTACTTTCTCTGAATTATTGCCGTGGTGTGTAACATACAGCCTAGCGCTTGATTATGTATTGTCTGGTATAGTTCTCTTCTTTGGTGTGTGTATCTTGTCTGTTAATTTATCCATTAATGAGAGACAAGGGCAATCTCACATAATTGTTAAAATTGAGTAGCTGGCAGCATTATATGTTGAAAATTATGAATTAACTTGACAAGTGACCTCCATCCAGTTCTCACACTTGGGGTTAATTTTTGTCTTCCACACACCCCTTCTCATCTCCCTTTACCCTCCCTCCTGTTTTTTTTGTTTTTGTTTTTTTTCTTGCGGTACACGGGCCTCTCATCGTCGCAGCCTCTCCCGTTGCGGAGCACAGGCTCCGGACGCGCAGGCTCAGCAGCCATGGCTCACGGGCCCAGCCGCTCCGCGGCACGTGGGATCTTCCCGCACTGGGGCACGAACCCGCGTCCCCCTGCATTGGCAGGCGGACCCTCAACCACTGCGCCACCAGGGAAGCCCCTCCCTCCTGTTTTTAAGTGCTGCTTATTCTCTTCTAAATTCATTTTCTCAACAAACCACACTTTTCACTATGAATTTTCTCAGGATGTTATTCGTCCTTCCAGGTCAGGGAAAAAGCACCCATCTGTAATAGCACACACTACATATTGATTCAGTGAATAAACAAACGGCTGTACTGTAAAGTTCTCTGTGGGAAAGTTCCATAAGTCCATTTAATTGAAGTTGGACCTCACTGACACTGAATTTGAACGTTCACGTCTTACGGTCTCGTGGTCATCGTCGTTGAGAAGGATTCCTGAGGGTTTACTCGCCGTGAAGAACGAACGGGTAAAACCACTCAGGCTGAGGACCTGCAGGCTCTTGACCTGAACCCCAGCTGATGCTTTCAGAGCAGAGAAGGCCTCACAGACAAGGAGGGACGGGTTGCAGAAATACTTCTTTTCTGATGGAAGGTAGACACAGGGAAAGAGGAGCGGGGAGAGATCTAGTTTTAACTCCTGGAGGACAGGGATTTTTTTCCCGTGTGTCTCCTCGGCATTGTTAATGGTATACCTGGCACAGGTAGTAGGTGCTCAGCGAGTACAACGCTGGATCATGGTGCTCGGACTTCAGGCCGCCTCGCGGGGCTTGGCGTGCTGTCGACCCTGGGAGGGCGCTTTGCCTACTTCACGTCCTCGGGGTCCTCTTTGGTTCCTTCTCCCGCCCACACACACAAAGCCCTGAGTCCTGTCTTTTCTGCCCCCAAAGGTCTCTTGCATCAGTCCCTCCTTTCCACCTTTCCATGTCCTGGTACCTGCTGCTTGGACTCCCAGGTGATCTTGTCCAGACACGGCCAGGTCTGCTCAGAAAGCTCTGCTTGTTCTCCACAGCTTCTGGAACAGAGTGCAACCTCTCGGTGTGAGTCTGGACTCTAACTGGCTTGCCTAGGATTCCACTGTCATTAGACCACATCACATACCCTATGACCTCTCAAATGCCACGTGCCCTGGGCTTCTGCATCCGTGGCCGTCTTCACAGAGTCCCTCTGCCCGGGTTCTTCAGGCCCGTATCTGGTTACTAGGTCTCCCCCTTCACTTAGAACAGCGCCAGCCAGATTTTAATGTGACTGCATGTGGTGCATGGGCCCCTTGCAGCAGATTCAGCTGGAATCATTGCTTAACCAGAACAGAACAGTTTCCTCAACTCCCTTCCTTGCCTTGGGGAGCCTGGGAGGAGCCCCGTGGTCTGTATCTGTGGCAGGCCGTAGGCCGTGGGGTGGGTTTGCTCCGGGCCACCGTGCCGCCGGGTCCGACCTCTATTGCGGGGAGCCTTCCCTGGGCCTCCCGCTGGACGGGGATGCCTTTCCTTAGCCTGCCTGCCTGCCTGCCTGCGTGCCAACCCCCATCTGGTGCCTCACCTGGTGTTCCAGCGCTTTGGTTTGTGTTTGCTTCTCCCTCTAAAGCAGAATCTCCTTTGGCCTGCCTTTTTTTGGTCTTTTTCTCTCATTAGCATAGGGCCTGACACATTTTATTTCCTCATTTTTTTTAGATCATCTGAATTATAATATTCTTCTAGAAAAAAAGAAACAGTCCTCATTCTTTTCCTGGGAAACATGAGTGTTTCTGTATGCTAGTTGGTTAATTTTCCAGGAGATGGGAAGTTCTTGTTTTACAAAATCAGTTTTTCTTTTTTGTTATGTTTAACAGTGTAGTATATTCTTGAATCTTGGATAGAAAAAGTAGTCATGGGGGAAATGAGAGGAGTTAGCAGATAAAATAAGAAAAATTAGCCTTTTTGGTTTCAACTAACCCTTGATTATTAAATTTATTAATGCAAATTTAAATGCCAAAAAATGGGGGCAGTTTTTAAGCCTCCCTACGGCTTTTTTGCTTAAGATGAATGACCGCCCTTTAATCAGTTTTGGGGACAAGGGTAGGGTAGTGATATCACAGCTTTGGTTTTTAGTTTTTAGCAGGCTGTTCGTTTGTTAGTAATAACTTTGGGTGCAAACATGAATGTTTTCTTTCCC